GTGTTTGTGCCCACACGGCAATTTGACATTATTCTGCAGACACATGTGACTTTTGCAACACTGGGAAACTTCAAAATTAAACTAAGAAAAACCTAAACCGAGCACCCTGGGCAAAAACTACATGCCACTATCATTATGGTAATCACAATAAATATGAATGCATTTATACAGCTTCTATGCTTGCGAAGACCTCATAGAAGCAAAGTGGCCCGAAGAAACAGCCTTTTTTGTACTTTTAATACAAGCTGAAGACTACTGGTGCTACTTTAATCAGGTTTGAGTCCAGTGTGGCTGGTCTGGACTGATCAGAGCAGAGTGGAGCAAGGTTCACTGCTCATTGATGATACGACTTCACAATCAGACTCTTGTAGACCGAGGTCTTACCCACTTTGGCAGGGAATAGTACATGTGGTCTATTCGGTTTATTTGGGAATTCAGAACCCCTAAGTATTGTTTTGGCACAGTGTTGATAAGGTGCAGAGGACAGTGCATATTTGGATCTTAGGAGTCCTGAAAGTCAACAAGAATGTCTGTTGCTTTAGAAAATGAAATCAAAGAAGGCAGGCAAAAGGAACAATTCAAAACTACTTTTTATCAACACAGTAGTTTTGCACTATTCCATTTATCTGCTGGGCATCAACAAGCAGCAACAATTATTATTCTTTATTTTGAGTATTAAACATTTGTTGATGTCTGCCTCTCAATGCCAATTACAATACTGTATGTCTGATTTGTCATGAAGCCCAATATGTGATGCCAGAGTCATATTGTAACACATACAGTCGTAAATAAGTTAAAAAAACATCCCTCTCAAACCCAAGAGTCAGCAAACAGACCTTACAAGCACATTTCCAGAATAGATGAAAACCTTGTGAATAATTGATGCATATCTGATGTATGTTGCGAATATTGTTCAGCTAAGGGGTCTGATCGCGTGCCTCAGCCTGGTCTGCACTCTCCGAGCCTCTTTCTCATTCGCATACTAACCCTAACCACACCTCATTCTAAAACGTGACAGAGAGCGGTGTGCGTTAAAGGAGGAAGCATAAATTATTTACTGACATTTTTATTCCAAGGTCCGTTCACATCTGATTGTGATTCCCAAGATAATGGTATGAATAACAAATGCCGTATATGGACAAGTCAAATCTAAATAGGTTTAGAAAATACACATTGTTTTCTCTTGGAACAAAAAATATTACTCATGGTGAATCACAGAAATCCATTAAATCAACTGATGGATAAGCTCTCTTTAACACATACACACCATGAGGCAACACACAGAAAAGAAAATAGACAGGAAGATAAAACATGCCCCAGCACTGTGTCTTGTCCAACTCTGTAAATATTATTTCTCATTTTTACATTTGCTTTCTGATAAGATGGCTTAATGCCTCTGAGGTAGAGCCCTCATTTTAATTAGACCTGACCTGAGAATCACTTAACTGCTCCTCTTCTGCAGTGCACCCTCCCCTCCCAGCCTTTGCTCTGTTCCTCACATTGGTCCATTAACACCCTTCCCTTGGCACCCACAGGCTGCAACAGGGGGCTGCCAGGGGCGTGGTTAAAAGATGTTTTGAGTACATGCCAAGAAAAGTTAAACTATCTACCACATTCAGACACTTTCACTTTTACTTAAATTCATCGTGTTTTAAATTTTACAGCAACAGAACACATGGCCCCAATCATTCCATTCTAGTTTTAATATGTGAATTGGAGGAGTAAAGATAATACATGCAGTTTGCAGCAATCGACTTATGTCCAGTCATGAAAAGGCCCAAACAACAGGTGCTACCTAGAACGTTAAGTGTGAGTTATGTAATCCAGACACAAGACTGCAAAACTACACCCACCCTAAGGTCGCACAATCACTTTTATACAGACATTATTGTTCATACAGTGCTGAGTAAAGTTAGAATTAAAGAATTCAAATAAAGCATTACTCTAATGCATGTCTTCGTCTTCCATAGAATGCCTTTGAAATGACATAAATGGAAAGACACTCATGGTGAACTGATGTTACGTCTTTAAGCCTTGGCTAAATGAAAGCAAGACTAAAGCCTGGTTCACACGGCAGGATATTTAGGCCGATTTAGACCCGATTTACCCCTTACGACAATCTTAAGAAACGCTCCGATTTCCGTAACAAAATCTTACAGATTATCCTGCCGTGTGTGGTGTGTTAAGACTGCACTCGTTGCTCGGAAGGACATCGGGACTGCTCCCGATCTCAAATCGGGGATATCCAACATGTTGGATTGTTTTGGCCCGATTTCTCTTCGTGTGTGGTGTCCCCCGAGGACACACGTGCGCATTGCCATGACTGCGGCGTGTAGCCAATCAGAAGACGAGACGAGGCGGTGAGGAAACACCTCCATATCACAATGTAGCAAGTATAGTCCATGCGCGTGTTGTCTACACTTCTTTGACCATCGCCTTTTCTTTTGATTACGTCTTTTCTCCGATAAAAACAAACTATCGCCAATGCATCCTCTTCGTCCGCCATGTGTGTTTACTCTGAAGTCACGCTTGATCTCGCGAGACCTGAGATTTCCGTCTGATCTGTGAATACTCGGGGGGGGCGCCCCACACACTGTACGACCAAAGTGGTTAGACCCGTGATTTTTTATCTCCCTGTGTGGGGTCTCACACAGAGAAAAATCGGCCGACAATTTTAAAATCGTCTCGTGTGAACCAGGCTTTAGACAATGCCGACACCTAACAGTCCTTGAAGTGAAGTGCTGTCACTGCAGTAGACATTTTTAAATTACCTCTTTAAAAAGGTGACTAATTTGACAAATCCTTGTTGTCTTATACTGTATTTGACCCTGTGACCTGCCTGTGGCCCGCAGAACCCCACAGGCACATTGCCTGTCAGTTTAAAGGGTCACCCAGAGGTAAGACTAATGTAATTACATACCACTAGCCTTTTCCCCAGTTTCCTCCTCAAAGCTGCTATAGCTGTCAGAGACAGTTTTAGCCTAATATGTGGAGGTGGGACTGTTCTCTCAAATGCGTGCTTGAGATACTGTCACCCCAATTTAGCATGAGCTGTGTCAAAAGTATGAAATAAATGACAATACGGTCCAAGTTTGCGGTGAGTATGTGTTGCTCCTGTCGAAACACCATGATCTCTACCTGCTCAGACTTGGGCCACAGGTTAATTCTTGCTGCAGGGTTTGTGCTAATAGTAAGTAGTCATCAACTGCAGTTTGAACCTTTAAAATACATCAGCCTTCACTTTACCAATGTGAAACAAATATCAAATTATGGATAAACGATAATACCAAAATGTGAGTAATATAAGATGAAATATACTATAGTACGAGACGAGTGTAATATAATCATTTCTATGGCATTTCGGAAATTGAACAAATTGCATTTAATAATATTCAGTAAGTCTGTCTGCTTAGTTGAGCTGATATTCAGCTGTCCACCTGCTAATTATAACAATAATTTCAGTAGTTCAGTAATTGGATTTGAACTAAATTGTGACAAAATGGGGCAAGGAACCAATTAATTGATTTTGTAAGTGAATCGTAACACGGATCATTGGATTGGCATAGTCTATAATACATTTACTTTAGTATGCATTAGAGTACTGTATGTGTGGTCTATATAAAGGAATTATTTCCAGTCAATTATATTTGATTAGAGCAATTAATAATTGCTGTTCCACTGCAAATCTGTCTATCATAAAAATAATAATGAATGCAAGTTAAGGCTTCACACTATGAAAAGAGCGACAGAGATGAGGAGAGCAGGTAAAGGTCTTGCCCTTCAGTCTGACTCTAGATGTTTGGAAGGCTGAGATGTCTATACAGCAAGGCCTAAGGCAGGAGCGTCCTGTAGCTTGAGTAAATGAGGTGATTAGCAGGAATGGTGTGTGCTGTCACATGTCAGACACAAGGCTTAGATTCTTATCACCCTCTCATATGTCAATCAACGGGCTGATCGTCACAGTTGACCAGTCGGTCACAAACACAGAGTCAGACAGAAAAAATGAAGAATCCAGGACATGTTAATGCCTCAGACAAACAACATGAATAATAACTGATATTCACAGCGAGCACAGTATAAAAAGCAAAAGCAGTTGCATTTGTATTACAAACTTGGCTGGTGGTGATAATAGCAATATTAAGTCTTTCACTATACAGAATGTTGTAGCATCAAATCATAATTGGCATTTCACATAGGTGCAGCTATCATTGTCAGAATGCATTCATGTTGAGGTTCAATTTTATTGCTCAGCATAAATATTGATATTGAAATAACTAAAATACTAAAGCAACCAGAAAGAAAGGTTAGTTTAAACCATGTACTGCTTGGTTTCATGACCACAAGAGCGGTATGGATGGCCCATGCCCTATCCAACCCTGAGGGCCAATTTAAAGACCATTGAGGGTAACCACCTTGACATTTATGAGTCTTATAAATCCATACTGTAGCAGCCTATTTAGGAACGAAGAAGGAGCAAAGGAGAAAAAGGATGCTATAGGCTGGCAGCACTGACTATGGGCAAAGCCAGCACAGGGGCAGTTCCTCCCCCTTAGTCTCCTAACTGAGACAATAGAGTTCATCAGGCCCAGAGGGTGTGATAAGGTAATGATAACGTAATAAGAACCAATCATGAGCCTGAGCTAAGAGGAGGGCCCCTTAATTTGGTCATTCACTGACAGATTGATTGCCTCGAGTGAGAGCAATGATGTAACATGGTCACAATAATAGACCTTTGACTGCTCAAGTGACGAGGGTTCATTTTATGAAAGCAAAGGTTAATAAACATTCAAAAAGATAAATTCATACAAATTCCATATTAGATAAAAAGGTGTATTATATATTAGTTTTCTTTGTCTTCTTTAGAAAGGAATATGTATGCAATGTGATACAATGCTCCCTTGTGAAGCCATTTTATAAATAAAACCGATTGATTGATTGATGTGTAGTTAGATAGATCAATAGATACTTTATTCATCTACCACAGATTATTAAGAGATTACCTCAATGCTGAATTGTTTTCTTTTTAGCTTGAAAGCCAGGTCCTTGTGATCGGGAAATTGACTTGCCAGACAGTTTAGGTGAGGAACTTGTCGCACATGCAGCAGACCTAGATGGACACAGAACAGGGTTTTCAAGAGATACATTCAATAATGCAAGTTGACTGGTTAAATTAAACCTCAAATTGTTGTGTCCCTCAAAATTACAGTAATAAAAATAAAGTAGTGTGTATAAAAGTAATAATTGTCACATACAGTAAATTAGTTATCAGATCAAGACTATAAGCCTCTTTATAGAGCAATTCCGCTGCCATAACAAAAAGGTATAATTATTTGAATAATATAATTCAAACAATCATACATGTACAGAAACCAATTGGGCAACAATCTTTAAGTGGTTGTCTCAATGATACATCTGTTCAAATCTAGGAAAGAAGGCTGAAAGAGGGTTGGCATAAGTGTGGGATAGAGGAGTAAAGATGAAGGGAGTGAAGGAGAAAGAGAAACAGACAAAGTGGGGGATGGTGGGCTCTCTCCTCTGTGCACTTGGGTGATTTCCCCTTGCATGATTTGCAGTGACAGGCTTCCCAGCATGCTTTGAGCAACCCCGAACTGCCGCCGCAAACACTCACGCACGCGCATCCCTCATGCACTCTTGCGTTCATACCAGATGCGCTTAAACTCATGACTAATGTGCATTTACATGCATTTTACAAAATCAACCTCTGGATGATCAAAAGGAACAATTTATGACAAAAATACATTAGAAAATGTAGTTATTCATATATTTAATTTGATGGAAAGTATCTCTGCATAGTGGAGAAAAAGTCATTAGAATCAACCGAGTTTGGAGTTTGGGGCAGGATCAATTGGTAAAACAGAAATAATAGTGCATGGTAAACCCTTTCATTGGTTCTATGACTTTTATGCATGACCTGATAGGAGTATAACGGGATGAAGAAATCAAGAGACAAATTAATTGCTGCCTCTGAGGAGACATAAAGATCCCTTCAAAAGCATCCTTTATACTCATTTGGTCTTGTCTAAAAATATAGCCTACATTTATGAGAAGCCCATGCTGGTTAGGAAGACAGTGAGCGAGAGACAGAGAGATGGAAGCAGAGGGGAAGAGAGAATGATGGTGAGAATATCGATTCCCCAGTGTTAGTTGCTCTGGGCCTCAGGGGTATGGGCGCTGGGACCGGGCAAAGGCTGAGGGTGAGAGAGGGAGGCTGTGCTGGAGGAGAGGAGCCAGGGATAGAGGGAGGGAGAAGGCCACGGCGTGGCAGCTGAATACCCCCCGGCCTGTCTACTGAGGAGCACGTCTGATTGAGCAGCAACACGCTAACTCACACTGACAGCCTGGCCTGCGAGAGGGATGCCCTCCCTCCATCCACAGTCCAAGCCCCGCAACTTAATGCACTGCCAGTGTATGCGTTTGCAAGACACCAAGAGAAAAGCTAGAGTATGTTTGTGTGTTCATACCATGGTAATCTTTATAGAGTGGGTTGGTCTCCTTCAAAGAGCCTTTGAATGATTCCAGAGCTATAGCAGTGTCAGACAGCTTGGCTATTCGCCCCATTATGGCTCTGTTCTGTTGGGAGAGAATGGTTATGTGAGAAAACATGAGCAGGTAATTATAAACCTCCCGATGAGCCATCAGTGTTGCAATTAAATTAGGCCATCACTTCCTGTGGTCAGGTCAGGTTATTCCTGTTCAAGGAGCTGAGGAGACAAAGGGGAAAGGACTCAGGTAGAGGTGTCAAAGGCTAAGGAGGGACCATGTTCACATACATCTCCACAGGAAATTATGCAGTGACTTATTTAAATAAATAAAAAACTGCAGAATCAGGAACAAATGTTACAGCAAAAGGAACAGAGCTTGGTGAGGAGCGCTCCCCCTGCTGGTTAGGTCGAAACTCTAACTCTAAAGAGGGAATGGATGGAGCAAGATAGAGGGACATTGGGAAATGGGGGAGAGAGAGCTCTGAAATATGCATGTGTTTTGCCTCTTGAATCATTCACATACGTCTCTCTGTGTTGGCTGCCATCGCCTAATGCAGTTTTCATGCATCCATGTCTTTTCTCCAACTCTTTCTTCTTCCTTTGCCTTTTTGTCCTACTTTTAAAGTATGCAGATCCTAGTTAGGACAGCTAGCACTTATAGGGTATGTGAGGTCAGTCTCCAGTCTGCAATTAAATACTGATGTACCAATGAAATATTAATATAATTAGACGTTTGTTACAACAACATTGCTCATCATAACTACTGAATATAACCTACAAAGCTGTTGAGTGCATAAGTAGGGCATTTGAAGGTCAGTGTTTATTTTAGTGAAACTAAAAAGACAAAAAAAGAACATACGTAGATAAAAAAAATTAAGAGTGAAAAGGTTACCTAATGACCATTTTATTTACTAGCTCTTTGATATTTACCACCCCAAAAATACATAATGTGTAAAAATGGGAGTCAGTGCATTGAAATTTCAAATTGGTGTGTAATTGTTTGTAAATGTATATCAACTGTATTAACATCATAACCAAGATTGTTTTGTGTGTATCCTATTTATGAATCTTAAAATGGAAAAAAAATACAGAAAAGAAAGAAAAAGCAAACTATAGGGGTTATTGCAAATAAAGGAACACATGTACTTTTTATTTTACTTACAAACATTTGTTCAGTACAAAGGGTGTGGTAGCTGGAGGTCTGTGATGATGGAGGAGGACTAAGCTAGGACAAGACTAATTAATGTTTCAGACGGATTGTGGCACTGAGCTGCCGTGAGCAGCTTTCAGTGAGTTGCGCAGCTTCAACGGCTCTTAAATAATTCAGTGAGTCCAGAGTGGTCACTGCTAGTCTAGACGGGACCACTCTAAACAGTTTATTAATTACATGAAGACAGGTTATGATGACTCACACGGCCAGTTCCAATGAGTCTGCAGCTTGGAAGTTGTCATTTATGATTGCAGTAACAGGTTCAACTCCTTTTGATTTGATTTGAATAGTTTATTTTGACCCATACAACATTCTTACAAAAACATTCTGTGCCTCCCACTTACCCACTTACCTGAGCAACAAATGAAAAACAAAACCTAACAAACAGGTACAGGGAGGATCTGTACAACATATAAATATATGGGGAAAAAAAGAAAAAAATTTGGCACAAAAAGGAGTAAGAAGAAGAAAACCAAAAGAAACCATCCCCTGCAATGTTCCTAAATTCTTTACTTAGCTTAGTTCCTGGTGTCTTTCTAACATACATATATACACACACACACACACACACACACACACACAAAGACACACACACACGCACACACAAATACACATACATATACACAAACATACCTGTACATAAGCAGAAGCATACTATCGTTGTTACTCATATCATCATCAACACAATCACATTCATAATAATATATTTGTATGTTTTATGTAATTTGTGTTCATTAAATAGTTAAAGTGATAGTCTGGAACTCTAAATGAATTACACATTTTAAGAATTGTATTAAATTAAACTCCTGGACTTAAATGTTGATATAAAATAAGTCATTTTATAAATTCTAATATAACGGGTAAGTCCCGCCTTCCCTTCTCTTGGCTATAGCTCAAAATCCATGATGCCGTCCACTTTCACCAATCAAGTGATGCCAAGGGCAGTTCGAGCTCGTATATAATTTGAATATTAAATATATATACATATATTCGAACGAATATTAGACAGCCCTTTATATTTGAAGCTGTAATGGGCATTATCTCTTTTAAATGATATATATAAAATAGTTAGTTCCCAAAGGTTTCATCGTGGCGTGGCTAAACGGGTAACAGAAGACTCACTAGAACTCTCTGGAACCACATGAAAAGTGAACAAAGAGTTCTGAACATCAGCGGAGAGTGAACCAAATATAAACTTAACCTAAATCCATAATAAGATCCTCAGCAAATGTGTCCTAAAATGTTCTACTAATGTTAATAGTTACAGTGTATTCGGCCCCCTTGAACCTTTCAACATTTCCCCACATTTCAGGCTTCAAACATAAAGATATAAAAATTTAATTTTTTGTCAAGAATCAACAACAAGTGGGACACAATCGTGAAGTGGAACGAAATTTATTGGATCATTTAAACTTTTTTAACAAATAAAAACTTAAAAGTGGGGCGTGCAATATTATTTGGCCCCTTTACTTTCAGTGCAGCAAACTCACTCCAGAAGTTCAGTGAGGATCTTTGAATGATCCAATGTTGTCCTAAATGACTGATGATGATAAATAGAATGCACCTGTGTGTAATCAAGTCTCCGTATAAATGCACCTGCTCTTTGATAGTCTCAGGGTTCTGTTTAAAGCGCAGAGAGAACCATGAAGACAAAGGAACACACCAGGCAGGTCCGAGATACTGTTGTGGAGAAGTTTAAAGCCGGATTTGGATACAAAAAGATTTCCCAAAATTTAAACATATCAAGGAGCACTGTGCAAGCAATTATATTGAAATGGAAGGAGTATCAGACCACTGCAAATCTACCAAGACCCGGCCGTCCCTCCAAACTTTCATCTCAAACAAGGAGAAGACTGATCAGAGATGCAGCCAAGAGGCCCATGATCACTCTGGATGAACTGCAGATAACTACAGCTGAGGTGGGAGAGTCTGTCCATAGGACAACAATCACTCGTGCACTGCACAAATCTGGCCTTTATGGAAGAGTGGCAAGAAGAAAGCCATTTCTCAAAGATATCCATAAAAAGTCTCAGTTAAAGTTTGCCACAAGCCACCTGGGAGACACACCAAACATGTGGAAGAAGGTGCTCTGGTCAGATGAAACCAAAATCAAACTTTTTGGCCACAATGCAAAACGATATGTTTGGCGTAAAAGCAATATTAGCTCATCACCCTGAACACACCATCCCCACTGTCAAACATGGTGGTGGCAGCATCATGGTTTGGGCCTGCTTTTCTTCAGCAGGGACAAGGAAGATGGCTAAAATTGATGGGAAGATGGATGGAGCCAAATACAGGACCATTCTGGAAGAAAACCTGTTGGAGTCTGCAAAAGACCTGAGACTGGGACGGAGATTTATCTTCCAACAGGACAATGATCCAAAACATAAAGCCAAATCTACAATGGAATGGTTCACAAATAGACGTATCCAGGTGTTAGAATGGCCAAGTCAAAGTCCAGACCTGAATCCAATCGAGAATCTGTGGAAAGAGCTGAAGACTGCTGTTCACAAACACTCTCCATCCAACCTCACTGAGCTCGAGCTGTTTTGCAAGGAAGAATGGGCAAGAATTCCAGTCTCACAATGTGCAAAACTGATAGACACATACCCCAAGCAACTTGCAGCTGTAATTGCAGCAAAAGGTGGCGCTACAAAGTATTAGCGCAAGGGGGCCGAATAATATTGCACGCCCCACTTTTCAATTTTTTATTTGTTAAAAAAGTTTAAATTATTCAATACATTTTGTTCCACTTCACGATTGTGTCCCACTTGTTGTTGATTCTTGAAAATTTTTTTAAAATTTATATCTTTATGTTTCAAGCCTGAAATGTGGCGAAATGTTGAAAGGTTCAAGGGGGCCGGATACTTTCGCAAGTACACTGTACTTCTGGGTTTATCGTGATAACTTTTTGACTCATTAAAACAGTATTTTTGTCATGAAAATGTTAAGATATTTATAAAAATGTTAAAAGATATTTATGAAAATCTCCGTGCACATGTGTTAAGAATCTATATATAATGTATTCTCTGATTAACAGTTAAATGTGTTCATTGATTGATATTTGTGTTATTGAGCATGGCTAGCTTCTATAGCTTCTCTCACACAGACAGAAGTAGTGACAGGCGCTGAAAGACCATTGTGACGAAGTGTACAAACTTCAGTCCAGAGTAATCATAGTATTTTACACACCTCAATCAATCAATCAATCAAAGTTTATTTATAAAGCGCTTTTTCATACAACAGATGCAACACAAAGTGCTTTACAGTTTGGCTAAAAAACAATCCTGCCCATGCCCTCCCCCCGACCGCCCAACAAACCCTCCCCAGACCACAAGCAATCTGGGCCTCAGGACCGATGACTAAAACCTCAGTTTTGTCCTGGTTAAGCTGGAGAAAGTTTTCTGCCATCCAGGATTTCAGGTCTAAAATGTAGTTAAAAAGAGCATCCATTGGCCTGGTGTCATCAGGAGACATGGAGATGTACAGCTGTGTATCATCTGCATAACTGTGGAAGTTAATTCCATGTCTCCTGATGACACCGCCAAGAGGGAGCATGTACAGGTTAAAAAGGACTGGACCTAAAATGGAACCCTGGGGCACACCACATGTGATTTTATGGACCTGAGAGGAGCAGGTATCCAAACTTACCATGAAGGATCTGTCTGATAAATAAGAAGTGAACCATTTGTGGACAGCACCAGAGAGGCCGAGGTGTTTCAGGCGGGATAAAAGAATGGTGTGGTCTACTGTATCAAAGGCAGCGCTAAGATCCAGTAGAACCAACACAGTCACCTTTTTAGAATCATAATTTAATCTAAAATCATTTAAAATCTTTAAAAGAGCCGTCTCTGTGCTGTGGTTCACCCTAAAACCTG